GCCTGGAAGTGCCGTCAGCTTAAGCATGCATGGGCTTCAGAATCCGGTGGAGGACACGAGGGAACTTTCAAGGACCTGCTTACATGCTAAAGCTCCAAGCCTACAATGCCACCCCCAATCTCAACCTCCTGCTTCTCTTTTCCATACCTCTGTAGTCGACTAGGATGGTTTGTTTCCTCTGTGCCTTCCCCAGGAATCATCTTTTTTATTCCCAGACTTCAGGTATGGTACATGCTACAGATTGAGTCTGCAATGTCCCCCAAAGGCCTGTGTTAGTGGTTTGATCCTCAGCATGGCACTTCTGGGAGGTGGTGGAAATCTTTTAAGAGACACACACTGGGAGGTTTTAGGTCACTGGTGGACTTGTTCCCCATGCTGGTCCTGTTCACCCTGTTTCTCAGTCGCTTCGAGGTGAGCAACTTACTGCGCCACCTGCTCCCACCATGATGTACTGTGTTGCCACCGGACCAGTTGGTCATGGACTGAAACCCCCCAAATGGAGCCTTAAATCAAACCTTTCCTCTTTTTAAGTTGATTTTTCTCAAGCATTTGTTACAATAATGGGAAGCTGACTCCTAAAACCACACATTTGGGGCTCCCGGATCTGTACCTCTGCTGAGGCTCAAATAACTTGTGCAAGGTGTCACAGTGAAGGAAGCCAGCTGCAGAGCCCACAGATGAGGTGTGCTACTGTGCTGCCTCTGCAGGAGTTCTCCCTCTTCCTCTCACCTCTCCACCCTCTCCCTGCACATCCTCTGGTCTCTCCTCCACATTTTTTCTGGCTCACAGTCTTCTCTGCTCCCAATTCCCCATCTTCTCTCAACATTCCTGTGAATGATCCACTCAACAGCCCCAGCCTAGCGGTCTCCACCCTCTCTGTCTTCATCCTCGCTCTATCAGGACGCCCACATCCATCACCCCACTGCCATTAGTCAGAATCGCTCAGAACTGCTCTCTCTGAAATCCTAAACTTCTGTTTTCCATCCGTGATCATAGCTTGCCCTTTCAGTCCTCCTCCCACCCCTGCGTCTACCTTCTCCACATATTCAGCCCCTTTCTGTATTCATTTCTGTCCTTATTTAGCCATGAGTCCATCATTCAACCCCTAACCCCTTTCAATTAATACCCAATTAATTTCAATTAATCACCCAGAACCTTTAAGCTTCTGCTCATCTACTTGGCAAAACCTAAAAGAGGATCAGTCAAATTTTGCTCCTATCCATGGAGTGTCTCCAGGGAGACCAGTGGAGCTGCTGGAGGGGTGCACTGTACAGCCGTGGCAGTCGCCCTCGCCAAGGCCCTCCACTGCCACCCTCCCTGTCAGCATTCTCCCTATCTCTAGTCAGCCTTGCCAACCCCTTATAGTCTCAAGGGACCCCTCCCACTCATTCTTGGGCTTGTGTCATACTTACAAAGGCAAAACAAAAACTATTGGGAGGAACTTTATGTGCCAGCATCCTTGCTTCCTTTCCTCTTGTCTGAATGGAAAAGGTCTTTCTCCTCTTGTCTGAGGTTAATTCCCCCCACTGGGTCCCATCCTTCTGTCACTGCTTTATGGACATCACCCGCTGACTAGCCACCTTCATTCCTGTGTTTTCAACTTTCCTCCCTGCTAGCCCATTCCACTTAGTATATAACCGTACTTGTCTTGCCTATAATAAAATCCTTCTGATACTTGTGTATTCCTCTAATTATTATTTTATCATCTCCTTTTCAAATAATATTTATAAAAGTAGCATATAAGGCTAGGGGTATGGCTCAGAGGTGAAGGGCTTGCCTAGCTGGCATGCATAAGTCCCTGCCTGGGTTCAATTCCCAGCATGGATTTTCCCATTCATTTTTAATCTACAGAAGTATGCTATATTAGGTTGGGGATGATAGCTCAGTGGAACAGTACTTGCCAAACATCTGAAATAAACTTGCTTTTGCCCTTATAGCAAGACTCCCTTGCTGACCACTTTCTCCTTCAACCTGTCTCCTCTGTGTGTCTACACATGACTTACACTTTCCTCTAATCACTCTTTCTCAGCTTATATCTTAGGCTGGGTTCCCCCCGAAGCAAAGAGAGAGGGATTGAAAGCAAGCAGTTGATGTGGAAGTTGGTCCCAGGAACACTGGTAAGAGGAAGCAGGGAAAGGAAGGCAGATGGTGCAGGCTGTAGTAACAGGCAGGTTATGGCCAAAGGCAGCGGGCTCAATTCCACTGAAGAACCTGTGGGAGGTTATGAAATATACACCTCCAAATTGTTCCATGGAAGAATAATGAGCTGGGATATCTGTCCCCTCTTAGGTTCGCTGGCAAAGTGGTGTAAAATTAACTGACAATAGGAAAAAAAACACTAAAGTTTATTCATGTGCATATGGAGCACACAAAAGTGGCTTCTAAATAGTCGAAGAGGAGCTCAGTGTGAGGCCCAGGCAGGAGGATCCAGAGTTCAAAGCCAGCCTCAGGCATTTAGCAAGGCCCTAAGCAACTTAGCAAGACCCTGTCTCTAAGTAAAATATAAACAGCACTCCTGGGTTCAGACCCCTGTACCAGAACAAAACAAAAACAAAAACACCAGTTAAAGAGGATAAAGGAGGGCAAAATGGCTTCTATGGGAAGAACAGTGGGTTTCCAGGGTAACAGAATGGAGAACAGTTTGGGATAATGCTTGTTTATGTAAGTGTGGGAGGGTTTTCTCCCTTTCTTTCTTTCCTGCCATAAAAGTCCCACGGAGAGGGGATCCATATAGGCTCACTTTCAGAAGCTTCTGCTTTTAGTGAGATAAGGAGAGCTCCAACAAGATTTCTTTCTGTATCTGTTGAATCTCAAATATCTTTAGTTTAAAACAGTCCTCACATATACTCTGGGCCCAGGTGGGTCCCCACACCACCAATTCCCTAATATCCCTGTTGAACTCCTTGGGGATTCCAGCCTGTCTATTGCCAGCAAGCTCATTCCTTTTGCTGGAAAAAGACCTTAGGCAGAGAATCCTGGTAAAAATGCTGAGTGCCAAAAGGACACAAGCTACTACCATTTTTCTCTTCCTCTACCTGCTTCTTTAATGGTGGTATTCCCCAAGATCTTACCCTCCCATGGTTCTCACAGCTTCAGTCACTATGATGTCATTCAAATCTATACCCTTCCCTTCTCATCTCCCTTAAGGTGTGTGTGTGTGTGTGTGTGTGTGTGTGTGTGTGTGTATTGAGCACCTTACCTTGGATTGTCCACTGCAAACAAAACTCAATAAAAACTGGGTTGACAGTCTCTCTTTTTAAAAAAATGTATATATTTTTTAGTTGTAGATGAACACAATACCTTTATTTTATTTATTCATTGATTTTTATGTGGTGCTGAGTATTGAACCCAGTGCCTCATGCCTCACGGGTTCTAGGTAAGTGCACTGCCACTGAGCCACAACCCCAGCTCTGGGTTGAGGGTCTCTTAAAGCCTTTTCTCTTGTTATTCCCTACCTTGTCTTGCTTTTTTAAAATCTGGTCTTCTTATTGTTTCCAGAGGTCTTTCTAAAACATCTGTCCTAGGCTGGGGGTGTACTCAGTGATAAAACGCTGGCTTAGCACACACAAGGTGATGGGTCTGACCCCAGCATGCAAGCATGCATAAAAATTAGATAAATAGGGGCTGGGGTTGTGGCTCAGTGGTAAAGTGCTTGCCTTGCACACATGGGGCACTGGGTTCGATCCTCATTTCCACATATAAATAAATAAAGGTATTGTGTCCATCTACAACTAAAAAAAATTATGAAAAAAATAGATAAATAAATACCTGTCTTACAATATGCCAGACAGTCTTTTAGGTGGTAGGGATATAACAATGAACAAGACAAAGAAGATTCCTGCTTTCAAAAGCATGAATCTTGCAAATACAGAAATAAACAAGAAAGAAGAAAAATATGTTTCATGTAGACTGGAGACTCATTTTAGATTGGGAGGTCAGGAAAGGCATTTTTGAAAAAAACACATTGAAAACCAAAACTGAATGACACAAAGGACACATCTATGCAAACGTACTGGAGGAGAGACCACTTCATTCCCCAGCTGAAAAATGCTTCTTTCAATGGTTTTCCAAAGACTTCAGGATCTAAGTCCAAATTTCTGAACAGGGCAGAGAAAAGTCTTACAGCATGAGGCCAGCTACCTTCCTCTAGTTTTTTTTTTTTTTTACATTACATGACATCAACTCATTACATACTCACAAGCACCACCAAGACAGCAAGTAGACTGGCTGAGTCCCCCTTACCTTTATTCATCTTTGTACTCTGTCTCTGCATTAGGAGTCAGCTCCATAAATGTTTGTTAAATGGCATATTGGGCAAAAAGTTTAGATGCATCATAAATGTACAGATCTAGATCAGTGCTTTTCAAGAGAAGAAGCATTCCACATGTGTAAAGTTTCCTCATAGCTACATTAGGAAAGTAAATGAAACGGATGCAACTGTCTTTACATTTTATTTAATGGAACATATCCAAAGTAGTATCCTTTTAACCTGTGATTCATATAAAGATCTTGAGCTATTTTACATTCTTTGTTTATCTGAAATCTTCCAAATCCAGTGTGTGTATTTCACACATCGCATCTCGGCTGGGACTGGCCACATTTCAAGTGCTCTGCAGCCACATGTGGCTTGCAGCCACCTCCTTGGCGACGGCCCCCTACCAAGGACCTAAAGCAGCCCAGCCATTCACCTCCTACCGCCTTACCTATTTTATCTGCTTTGCAGTCCCTACTAGTTTTACTCGCCAAGCTCTGGTTTGCCTGTCTCTTTTGTGACAAGGACTCACCCTGAATGGTGCCAGGACAGGACAGACATTCAATAAGCGTCCATCCCTTCTTGAATCCGTGCCCAGCGGGCATCGCGAACTTGGGCCGTCCTCTCACCCTCCGGGGCTGCCCTCGCCCTTCCTTTCCTAGGCCGGTCCCTGGAATGTGGCTGGAAACCGTGGACGTGACTGGGAGGAGTCTGGCCTCCTCGGGTTTCGCGCGGCGCGCACGGGGACGCGGCCGCCGGCCATGGCGGACCTCACGGTGTGCTCCTTCCTCACCAAGGTGCTGTGCGCCAACGGCGGCCGCATGTTCCTGCAGGACCTGCGCGGCCACGTGGAGCTGTCGGAGGCGAAGCTCCGGGACGTGCTGCAGCGGGCCGGGCCCGAGCGCTTCCTGCTGCAGGAGGTGGAGATGAAGGAGGGCCTCTGGGACGCCGAGGCGGAGGCGGCGGCGGGCGCGGGCAGCGGCGGCGGCGCCTCGGCCTGGAGGGTGGTGGCCGTGTCCTCCGCGCGCCTCTGCGCCCGCTACCAGCGCGGGGAGTGCCAGGCCTGCGACCAGCTGCACTTCTGCCGACGGCACATGCTGGGCAAGTGCCCCCACCGCGACTGCTGGTGAGGGGAAAGCGCCGGGGGCCGGGAGGAGGGCGCGGGGCGAGGGCCGCGGTCTGTAGGTCCAGCGGGAAGCCGGAGCCCAGAGAATGGCGGAGGCGGGTCCTCGTCGGGCGCGGGGTGGGATGGCGACCTCCGGGGAGGCCTCGTCTGCGCTCGCGGCTGGATGCGGGGCGGGGGGGAGGGAAGCGGGAGGTCCCTCGGCCCAGAGTCCTCAGTCGCCCGCGCCCCCCAAACTGCTGTCCCGCCAAGGTGCCTTCGCTACGCGCCTGGGTTGAATCGTGCAGGAACTTTTGAGTTGACCCCCCTCAAAGTGACCTCTGGGGGACATCTGAGGATCCCGGGAGATCCATGGGCCTTTTGCGCCCACTCCCCACTAACTACAGTTTTACAGGAGCGGGTCTGTGCTCTCGGGCTTTAAAATCCTGGTCTGGCCTGACCCACCCCCTCCCCCGGAAACAGGGCTGGAGGCTGTGAGTGAGGATCTACCCTCCGCACCCCCTCAGCGGGAGTTTGAAGCTCTTTCGTGGTGCATTCTCGCCGCACCCTTACCCCCAGTTTATGTGGAGGCGCTTTCTTTCTAACGTTAGTAGACAGTGGGAGATGGGTCCCTCTCTGGGTGGAGAAGGCCAAGTGCCGTCATGGGCAGAACAGATGTGCAGCCTGTCCAGGGAGGTGCCTGGGGGAGGTACACTTGGCTCGAAAGCATCCTTAATGAATATGAAAATGACCCTGGGAAGGGAGTAGTTTCAACTCAACTTTCTTATTATCAATCAGTGCCTGGGAAATTGTTGGACCCACTGTAAGTTGAAAGTTGTCTAAGGCAAGAATCCCACCCACTGGCCCTTCCTCACCTGGGCTTCTGACCCAGAGCTTTGTGTTTCCCCAGGTCTACCTGTTCCCTTTCTCATGATATCCACACACCTGTCAACATCCAAGTCCTGAAAAACCACGGGATTTTTGGCCTCAATGAAGCCCAGCTTCGGATCCTGCTTTTGCAGAACGACCCCTGCCTTTTGCCAGAGGTGAGTGGCCATGGAGTTCATTGCCTTCTCTGGCTTTATAGCGCAATAGCTCTGAAGTAGTATGATTTAGTTTCGGATTCTTAAAAGGACCCTTTCTAATTCCTATAATGGCAAAATTCGCATGAGTGTTTCTGTTTAGCCATACATAAAGAATTGTTTTAAACAAAATAGTGAGAATCCCAAGAGAAAATATTATGAGACCACCAATTAAAAGTAGAATTTTGTAATCTGGCACCATGATTCTATCATAGACTTTCTCATGGTTCCAGAAAGGGGTAGGAAGAAGGTGGGGGAGTGAGGAGACCACCATTCAGGATTCAGGATGGCCCTGTTTTTTTTTTTTTTTCTTTGTGGTGGTGGTGGGGATTGAACCCAGGGCCTTGTGCATGCAAGACAAGCACTCCACCAACGGAGCTATATCCCCAGCCCAGGATGATCCTAGGGTATGACAGGGTCCAAAGGGAAAGAAAGTTGTGAGGTAGAACATGTGAGCTGGAGCTTTTGGTGCAGAAGATGGCAGAGGCCTCCCTCGAGTACGTTCGAATCTGTACCCCAGGCAGTCCTGGAGGGGATCTTAGGAAGCAAGGCTTCTTCTTGGCATCCATCTCATTTTAAATGCCTGAAACCTTTGCAGCAGGTGTTCTGTGAGCCAGGTGCATCTCTCTATGTTACAGAAAGTAGATTCACCCAGAAGCTGGCACAGATTATTGACAGGAAGGGTTGAAAGGTGGCATCAACTGTGAGGCTGGGGCCAGACCTTCCTCTGTTAGAGGGAAGGAGCAGTATAGCTGCTGTTTGCCCTTTAATTTCACAGTATTTCTTGATTTGCAGAAGTTTAAAGGGTTTTTTTCTTTTTCTTTTTTTTTTTTTTTAAAACAACCGTTTACCTGTCCAAGATTTTATTAGCAGGACCATAGCGGCCAGTCGCAGAAGAGAAGGGGGTTGAGAGAGAGAGAGAGAGAGAGAGAGAAAAGAGAGGAGAGGGGGAAGAGAGGGTGAGAGGGAGAGAGAGGAGAGAGGAGAGAGCAGAAGAGGAGAGGGGGAAGAGAGAGAAGTTGAATGGTTTTATGTTGTCAAACTCATTGAATCTTTTTCTTTATGGCTATGTTAGACAGCTTTTTTGTTGGTGTTACTAAAAGACCTGACAAGAACAAATGTAGAAGTTTATTTTGGGGCTCACAGTTCAGAGGTCTCAATCCATAGAAGGCCATCTCCATTCCTTGGGGGCTTGAGGTCAGGCAGAATATCATGGCAGAAGACTGTATCGAGGAAAGTGGCTTAGGTCATGCAGATCAGGAAACAGAGAGCTTCACTTTGCCCAACAAGGACAAAATATAGACCCCACAGGCATGCCACCAAGGACCCACCTCCTCCAGCCACATCCTACCTGCCTACAGTTGGCATCCAGTTAATCCCTAGCAGGGGATTAATAATCTGATTAGGTTTAGACTCTCACAACCCATTCATTTCACCTCTAAACTTTCTTGCATTGTCTCACACATGGGCTTCTGGGGGATACCTCAGATGGAAATCATAACAGTGGCTCTTCCTAGATGACCTGGGCCCAGCCTCATCTTGTCCTATTAGACTGCTTCAGTGTTCTTTTAGCCCTTATAGTGGGAGGCTGCCCTTGGCCCAAAGTTGGACCTAGAGGTGTGTGTGGCACAAAACATGGCCACTTAGACATCAGGGGCCACGGACAAGCACAGAGGATAAAGTGAGAATGATGCTTCCTGTCTTTTGTATGAAGGTGCCTGGTTGATTCCTTTCACTGCTCTCCTAAAGATACAGTGCAGGATCCAGACATAGCACACAAGAAAAAAGACAATGGGGGATAGTATGTGAAATATCATGCTAGCTCATTTGAAAATTTAGATGAAATGAACATATTTCTAGAGCATAGGGCAAATCAAAATTGATTCAAGAAGAAATGTAAAGCCAAAAGAGCCTTATGTTTTTTTAAAAAATAAAAGCACGGGGCTGGGGATGTGTGGCTCAAGCGGTAGCGCGCTTGCCTGGCATGCGTGCGGCCCAGGTTCGATCCTCAGCACCACATACAAACAAAGATGTTGTGTCCACCGAAAACTAAAAAATAGATATTAAAAATTAAAAAAATAAATAAATAAAAATAAAAAATAAAAGCACTAAACAAACCCTGAAGTATAAGTTTTCTATAAGAAAACATCAGGCTTACATAGCTTTATCATTTATTTCTATCATTTTTTTTTTTGCATCTTAAGCATAATTGAAAAATAAAAATTATGTATTTATGGCATACAATGAGATATTTTGACATATACTTACATGTGACATAATTAACATAATCCTACTAATTAACATATCATCACTTCATAAGGTCATCTTTTTTAAAATTTTGAGTGATGAGGATTTTTTTTAAAAGCAGGTTTTTAAAATTTTTATTTATTTATTTATTTATATGTGGTGCTGAGGATTGAACCCAGGGCCTCACACACGCCAGACAAGTGCTCTACCACTGAGCCACAATTCCAGCCCAGTGATGAGGATTTTTAAGATCTACTCTCTTAGTAGTTTATAAGCATAGAGTATGTTATTTTGAACTCTAGACACCATGCTGTACTTTAGGGCTCCAGAATGGATTCATCCTAACTGAAACTTCAGTCCCCTTCACCTGCATCTCCCCATTCTCCCCCCAAGTTCCAACACATCTTTAAGGAGCAGATTGTTCTAATATTTGGACTAGGTCTGGGGTCTATTTTCCTTGACCTACATTGTTGAACCAGCATCCTACTATTTAAAATAGTTTATAATATATTTTAATATATGATAATCCAAGTCTCTATGCCCATTACTCTTCTTTCTCAGTTTTTTTTTGTTTAATCAATTCTTTTTTTTTTAACAATATCTTTATTTTATTTTTATGTGGTGCTGAGGAATGAACCCAGTGCCTCATGCATGCCAGGCGAGCGTGCTACTACTTGAGCCCTATCCCCAGCCCCTGTTTAATCAATTCTTGTTTCCTTTTTCTGATAAAGTTTAGAATCAGTTAAATTCCTAAAAATATTTTCTTTTTGAGAGAGAGAGAGAGAGAGAGAGAGAGAGAATTTTTTAATATTTATTTTTTAGTTTTCGGTGGACACAACCTCTTTATTTATTTATTTTTTTATGTGATGCTGAGGATCAAACCCAGCGCCCTGTGCATGCCAGGTGAGCACGCTACCACTTGAGCCACATCCTCAGCCCCCTGAAACTATTTTCTAGGAACTCTTTGACTCTAGGAGGGTCAAAATTGCATTAAAATTATAAGTTCATTTTAGAAAATTGGCACCACAATTAGATAGAGATGCTCTTTTGTTTTAAAGCAGGTTATGTGTGTCCTATAAAATTACCCATGTTTTAGCTTGATTGGTGGTGTTCCTGTTGTATCGCTTAACATGCTCCTCTATTTCTTGAATATATGGTAAACTAATAGATCTGGAGGTTTGATGGGATTTGGGTTTGATTTTTTTTAATAGCAAGAATATTTTTAAAGGTGGTGCATTATTAGGGTAACTTAACATTTCAGTTTGCCTGGGAGTGGAGGGGTGTCTTGGAATGTCAGACTTTCATAATGGTATTTCTTGTTGTACCACATGGGGGATCATATAACATCTTGCCATCTTTTTGTGTGTGTGAGGTGAAGTCGATTGGTCATTTCAGAGCTGACAGCCTGATCCATCGTTATAAAGCTCCCTGAGAGTATGTCCTTGGTTTGCCTGGAGCAGACCAGTTCACATTAGCTGTCCCAAAGTAATCATTAACAGTGGGGCCCCCCCCCCCCCTCTCTGCCTGACTCTCATATTATATGGTAGTGCAACCTGTCGAGATGGGTTTCACTTGAAGTAGACCTGAAGTGGGGATTTGGGTTTTGTGATTTATTGAGGGAGGGCTCTTCAGGAAAAACCAGTGGGGAGGAAGGGAAGCAGGATATAGAGGAAAAAAGGCTACAAGCATGGGGAAGTCTGGCCCTGACTTGATTCATGGGGCCATAGGATAAAAATTGCACTGAAGAATTGTTCTAGCTTGGGGGCAAGGGGCCAGGCTTTTGTACCTCCATGTAAGTCCTTCATTGGCTAAGGGTTTGGGGGAGAGCAGGTCAGTTGAGGGTCCAAAGTAAGAGAGGGGGTAAGAGAGCCAGTGTGCACACTATCTGGGGGAGGCCTGGGCGGGGGTCCACTGGTATCCTTCAGCCCTTCACCAAAGATCTTAACAGCTGTTGATAATCAGAAGATGCCATTTACATCAGGGAACTGCGAATCAAAAGCACTATATCACACCCTGGTTAGAATATCTATTGTTAAAAATAAACAAAAAATAAATAAATTAAATGCTGATGAGGATGCAGAAAAAGGGGAATACACTGTAGGTGGGAATATAGATTAATGTACCATTATGGAAAACAGTACAGAGGTTCCTCAAGCAAGCAAGCAAAGAAGAAACAAAATCTAACTACCATATATTGAGGCACTGAAATTAGTATGTTGAAGAGCCATCTGCATGGCATGTTTGCTATGCACTGATTGCAGTAGCCAAGATATGGAAACAACCTAGGTGTCCATTGATGGATGAATAGATAAGGATACACACACACATACACACACCCATACACAGGAATATTATTCAGTCCTAAAAAGAATGAACTGTCATTTGCGGCAACATGGTTAGAACTGGAGGACATTATGTTAAGTAAAGTAAGTCAGATGCAGAAAGACAAATACTACATGTTCTTACTTACAAGTGGAAACTAAAGGTGATCTCAAAGAAGTGGGGAATAGAGGCTGGGTTTGTGGCTCAGTGATAGAGCACTTTCCTGGCATGTGTGAGGCACTGGGTTTGATTCTCAGCACCACTTATAAATAAATGAATAAAATAAAGGTCCATCAACAACTAAAAATATACTTATTAAAAAAAAAGAAGTGGAGAATAGAATAGTGGTTACCAGAACCTGGGAAGGAACAGTGTGAAGGAGGAAAAGATGGAGAGAGGATGGTTGATGGGGCCAGGGGTGCAAGAGTAACCTACTAATGTTCTATAGCACTGTACGATAATAATGGTTGACAAAAATTAATTGAATATTTCAAAATATCTAATTGAATTTGAATGTTTCCAGTACAAAGAAAAAAACATATGTTTGAGTGACAGACATGGCAACTACCCTCATCTGATCTTTATACGTAGTATAATACACATTGTATACATGTATTGAAATGCCACACTATACCTCAATACAGGGTACATAGTAATATGTACAATTACTGTGTGTCAATTAAAATATTAATTTAAAAAAGATACCATTTAATCTCCAGTTTTGTAGGAGGAACTGTTGTTTATTGGCTGAAAAAGATACAATAGCTGGGTGTGGTAGCACATACCTGTATCCCAGCACCTCAGCAGGCTAAGGCAGGAGGATCACAAGTTCAAGGCCAGCATGGGCAATTTAGCAAAACCCCATCCTGAAATAAAATAAAAAGGACTGGGGGGGCTGGAGTTGTGGCTCAGCATAGAGTGCTTGCCTAGCAAGTATGAGGCCCTGGGTTCGATCCTCAGCACCACATAAATATAAATAAATAAAATAAAAGTAGTATGTCCAACTACAACTAAAAAAAATAAAGTAAAATAAAAATTTAAAAAAGGGCAAGGGATGTAGTTCAGTGATGAAGTGCTCCTGGGTTCCGTCCCCAGTACTGCAAAGTAAATAAAGATATGGTGAGATCTAATATTTCAGGTATTGCCTTCTTTCTGTACCAGGTCTGTTTGCTGTACAACAAAGGTGGGGATCCCCTCTATGGTTACTGCAACCTCAAGGATAAATGCACCAAGTTCCACGTGTGCAAAGCCTTCGTCAGGGGAGAGTGCAAGCTACAGACCTGCAAACGGTCCCATCAGCTCATTCATGCTACAGCCCTGAAGTTGCTACAGGAGCAAGGACTGAGTATTCCAAGTGTCGTTAATTTTCAGATCATTTCTGCCTACAAGCATATGGAGCTGCACAAGATGCTTGAAAATAAAGGTAGGCCTAGCAGAGGCAGACAAGAACCATCAATGGTGAGGTGGTTTCAAAATCTTCACAGTAAAGAAATAAGAACAGTGACTTGAAAGTGAGTCTGAGGACCAAACCACTACATATGTTAATTGAAGCTTTGTTGTTAGAAAGTTTAGGACAGTGGACAAGTGACAATATTGAAGGGTTTCAGAAGACTTTTGAGTTTAATACTATAAACTCAAAAGTCTTCTGAAACCCTTCAATATTAGCTCCTGGGCCAGTTGGGGGCAGGAGCAGTCTTAACAACTTGCTGGGAGATGGGGAGGGAGAAAGGTGAGGATAACATAGGGATGGCTTTCTTTTATGAATTGGTTTAAAGGGTCTGCTTGTTTTCATTTTTTAGCAATTTTAATCACATTATAGAAAAACTTGGAGCACAAACTAGAAATAAAAATTGCTTGTGATTCTCCTCACTCTAAATGGTAATAATTGTTACACTTCATTGTAGGCCATTCAATCCTGTTACTGTGTAAATGTTCTTTTAACCGTGATGTGTTTTGCTTATTTATTTTATTAAATTTGCTTATAGCTGAAAATCAGTTAGTGGTGGGTTTAGAATTGTTGATGAGAAAAGGTAATTAATTAATTGCCAAAGTCAGAGGTACTAAGCTTTTATTTTATTTTTAAATATTTTTTAGTTGTACATGGATGCAGTGTCTTTATTTTCTTTATTTACTTTTATGTGGTGCTGAGGATTGTGGGAGTGCCTCACATGTGGGAGGCAAGTGCTTTACCACTGAGCCACACCCAGCCACCAGTACTAAGCTTTTAATGTGCAGTTTTCTTTCTTTCTTTCTTTTTTTTTCCTCTAGTACTGGGGATTGAATATCATGCTAGACAAGTACTCTACCACTGAGAAACTTCCCCAGCTCTTTTGTGAAAACAAAAACAAAAATTAAGTTTTGAGACATCCTGAAGTTTTCTTATGTCGGAATGTTAGTGGCCGACTTTATGAGTTTGAAAGTAAGGGGGACTCCGGAATACCAGTGTCACCGGCTGTCTAGGGAACTCTCAGGGATAGAAGGGACCTTCTACTCTGTTTCTGATGTAGTGCCTATTATTGTTCTCATCTGGTCATTTTTACTGGGACTCTTCTCACTATGGAATACTGACTTTCTGCTTGCTATTGTTATATTTTTAATATAACAATTACCTGTTTTAATTCAGAAGGCACAAACTCTCCAAACCCTGGGAATGAATTAGGAGTCTTGTCTGAGACCTGGTTACTAATGTAAAATGAAATTTAAAGAGTAATAACAAAGAATATTTTTGGAAAGCTCATTCCTTTCTTCTTTCTTTTAGATAACTCAGCTACTGAGTGTTCACAGGGCCTTGAAAAACAGAGAACACAGGAGGCCAGGGCTGGAGAAGGCAGGCCTCTGGTCCCCATCCCTGCTCAGTCAGCCAGGAAGCCCTACCCAGGTAAACCGTAAAGGGCATCAGTGAAGCAAGAAGCTTGTTCATCTTGGAAGACCTGAAAGCAAGTCTTCTGCTGAGCTTCAGTTTGTAACCATTCGTTCATTTAGTCATTTCTTAATAATGGTCATTAATAGCTACCTCACAGCTTATTGTGAGAGCTAAAGCTGGGAGGATAAAATTTGGCATGGGTGGCTGGGGATGAGGTTGGACATGAAGCAGGCAAAGAGAGGGTAAAATTTGAGCGCAGAGGGGTCAGTCCAGGGCAAATCCTGAAGATGCAGCTTCTGCAGTTCCTGAGCATCTTCCCCAGCCTGGGCGGATGGAGCTCTTCAAGTGGTGAATTTCTGCTGACTTCTGTGGTCTGACCAGTGATTTTGTCCATGTAATCAGTTTACATAGATCCATATGCTTTGCACAGTTTTCTACTTAGGCATTTCATAAGTATCATTCCATTTTGTTCACATTGATCACACATAATCATTTTTTTTTGCACAGATACATTAATATATCATAGTTTAACTACCTCCCTTATTCTGAGATATTTCAACTCTAACAAATTTTGAATTTATCTTTTTATAAAATATACACAGTATTGAATTTATAAAGCCATGCTTTACTTTCGCTTAGCTTATAGGTGCTAAATGATAATGTGTTTTGGTTTGCATTTCTCTAAATGTATGTGAGTGAATAGTATTAACTGCCTTGTGTGGGTTCTGTTTTGTGTATTGTATATGTGGCCTTTTATTGCTGGGACCTCTGGGCCGACATGGAGCTCCGTGATTTTCGTAAAAGAATGTCATCCATACTGTGTTCAGGATGTCCAAGTTTTGTGCATACATCCTTGGCCTGCATCACAGAGTATGTAACCTTTGGGTTCCTGTCAAAGATTTCTACCTCAGCCTGTCTATTTTTTATCTTTTATTGAGCTTTTGCTAAGCCAAGCTGCTGCAGCTTGAAGGATGGGTAGTTTATCCATTACTTGGTAACTCTTCTTTCTGTGGATGCAAACGGACCATGGGAAATCTACCTGCTTCACCCATTTCATGTTGACTTCCCTCTTCCTCCCTGTTCCCTCTTCTCTCTGCCTCTGTATACCCTGCTGTCTTTATCAAGATACGTGTAGATGTTGAGTTCTTTTTTATCAAGGGCTACCACAGAGGCAGGTGTATGAAATCCTTTGCTGTGTGTATTGTAGTCATATTTCCAAATGTCATTGTATAAAGTGCTTTCTTAAAAAAATTTTTTTTGCAATAACAATGTGAGAAAAAGGGACAATATAGTAGCTTTTATAAAACTAAATTTATTTAATTTTGAGAAAACTTATGTTTTCATTTTGAGAAAAACTGAAATGCTCTTCTATTGAGATGGGGAATGCAAAAATGTTTTCAAGTGATAAATTTCTGTGTTTTCTCCTAAAAGGGCAATATGATTCATATAACTTATGATAGTTTTTTTTACTGTTGTTGTCAACAACAGTATTTCTGAAAAGCCTGATGTTCTGCATATTTTGTTTTTTCTTTCTTTATTATTTTTTCCTAGTTCTGATTTTTCCTGGTGCTATTTTTTTTTTTTTTTTTTTTTTTGGTGGTGCTGGGAATCTAGCCCAGGGCCTTGTGCATGCTAAGCAAGCACTTTACCACTGAGCTACACCCCAGCCCTGGTGCTAACTTAAATTTTATTTTGCATTTATTTTACATAATGATTAAATGTAAAATCATTATTTTACATTTAATCATTATGACTCTCTCCGGTTTATCCTTTTACCATGTATACTTTTGTCTAAGCCATCTTACACCCTTAATGCAGAGAATGAGAGTCTAAAGGCGTATCCTTTATCCTGAGAGACTTGGTGGACTTTCACATCATTGTGTTCTTTTTATATATCTTATAATTGTGATCTTACATAAGTAAAGGCCCTCTGTAATCTTTGTTGCAATGTTTTATTCAGTTCTGTCATCTTCCATTTCAATTTTGGTTCTGCTGATAATCATTCTATAAAATTATCTTACGTAATTTACTGGACCAAGTCCGACTGCTTATCCCACTACATACCAGTAAAGTCAAGAGACAAGATATGGAGGCAGAGAGTCTGACTATGGAAAAAGCTGGCTAGATGAGAAGATAGGGACTCTGTCCCAAAGCTTGTCTTCCTGGGAAGCTGACTTGGGGGTGGCTTATGTAGACGGATGATGGGTGTTCCCTGATTGGTGGGTCCTGTCTCACCAAGTGGGTGGGCCAAATGAGGCACATCTGATCCTCATTGCCTGGTCATGAGATGTTTTTCAGTTCTGCAAATTTCAAAAGCAAAGATCATTATTTCCTCAGACTATTCTTGTCACTGATGAGTTACATATTACACAAAGGACAGGCTCGAGGTGGGTAGCTGCCACTAGTCTCTCTTGGTGATTGCCAAACTCCTGGTGAAAACAGGTTTCAATTGGTTACTTATTATAAACCTTCCATAATGGAAGAAAACATCCTTAAGCTCACCTTCATAATCACACCTCTTAATCTTTCGTTCATTTCCGTCTGATGGTCCAGCTCTTAGACGTCTCATGTCAGAGCTGGAGATAGGTTTTCTTTGTTAATTTATTGGGGTTCATGAGGTGAAGCCGCACGTCTCCAGGCTCCCCACCCTCAACATACTCCAACTTGAATGAATTCATTTTCCTCCAGGGTTGTTTCTCCTTTCATTTCCTTATTTTTGGATGCTTATCCCCATTCAGTCATTGGACTTAAGCCCTGTGCTCTTCTTTGTCTTTATTCCCTGTGTCACATTGGTCACCCAGGGCTGGCGATGTTTGGCTCCTAAGGAGCCTCTCAAATGCTCATCCTTCTCTGCCCCTTTCTTCCCATCCCTACACAATTCCTTGGTTCACACCTTTATCACCCACAGGGTGATATGTATGTATCCCACAGGGACATAACTCGGTGTTTTTCAAGTCATATGTGGTGCGAGTTTTTAGTAGAAGGTGCTAGGTGGGCTCCTTTCCCCCACTTCAGTTCTGGTAGCTTTATTTTAATTTTTAATATAATAGACCTTTGTGGATTCCATCCATCTCCCCACTGTCCCTCTCTTCTGCACCTAGCTGCCGGGTTGATCTTTTAAAAGCAAATCTAATCCTGTTGCTTTGTTTCACGTAAGGCAAGTCATAAACTCCTCCCCTACAGGGACCAGGAAGGTGAGTTAAATAGATGGAGTGGACTCTCTGCAGGGAAAGGGGGCACAGAGGAAATCCTGTAGCAAACTCTCCCAACTGCAATGTGCGCAGCCCTGATTTCCATCTGGGAATATGGACCCAGTTTGTCATATAGTCTGCTTTTTTAAAGAAGCCAGAAATCCAGATTTTTTTTGTGAGAAATTTTCTGATTTTTAAATATTGGCTTCTAATTGAGTTTTAGAAATATAGATTAAGACTGTTTCTGCTGACCCACTTGGAGTTTTTGAAATGTACTCTTTGGTTGTCTTGTGACTCTGTATTTGTAAAAGATGTTCCCTCTTTTACAAGTGCCGGTCCTTCTTCCCTGTGCCTTCTTCAGAACCTGGCAGTTACAATCTTCAAAATGTTAGCGTTTCTTTCTTGGTCCCTAGAGAGGAAGCACTTGTAGAATTTTTTTTTTCTTTTTTGCAGTACTGGGGATTGAACACAGGGGCGCTCTGCCACTGAGCTGCATTCCCAGCCCTTTTTATTTTTCATTTTGAAGCTGAGTCTCTCTAATTGCCCCAGCCAGCTTTGAACTGGTCATCCTCCTGCCTCAGCCTCTGGAGTAGCTGGGATCACAGGTGTGAGCCTCTGTGCCCGCTTCCTGTAGCGCTACCCTAGTACTTACCACATTACATCACGGTGCTTTGAGGAGAATCGTTCTTGTTAATTCTAACTTCCATCTGGAAGTTAAGACCTATTTTTTTTTTAATCATACAATGAATTAAATGCTGTATTGGAATCTGTTTGAATCAGTATATATCTTCATTGGTCTTCTTACCCCCACTTACATTCTTTAATATTCAAAAATACAGCCCCCCCCCCCCATGGGGGGATAAGTAAAGTAAACATCTCTTTCAGTTCTTCAATTTGAATTTTTTATTACTCTGTAACACTTTTGTTTATGATGCTAATTCTTTCCATCAGGTATTTAGTCTGTTCGTTATTAATGTGTTTCTTGATGTTGTTTTGTTATACTTTGTTCTTATTTTTGTCTAGGTCTTATTATGTTACTTCTTTCTTGAGTATTTTATATCTGTGTTCCTACTCAGCATGGAAATCTTTATCTTTAGAAGGCTGTTAATTTTAAAAATATTTATCTTTTGCTGAATTGTTTTTGTTCCAGTAGTGGTAGAATGCTTTTTTTTTTTTTTCTAAAAATAAAACTATAGCTGCAAAATGATTTCTTTTTTATGTATTTTTATTGTTTTGTGTTAAGTACAAACAAAATGTGATTAAAAAGTTTCTTTGGTATTTCTTCATTAAATATAAAGTTGATTGTTGGTTTTAAATAAATGTTCTTTATTAGAATAAGAGGAATAACATCTTTTCTTTGTTTGAAGCTAAAAGCTTGATAAGATGAATTGGTATCTTTTGATATAATCCTATTTTTATCACTTAAATCCCTAATATGATTGACTATATAAAAAGTTTTCATAATTTTAAAACACCCTTAAATTCCTGAAATAAACTCTACCTGATTATGGTACATGTTCTTTTAATGTACTTCCCCCTTTGGTATACATTTATACATTCATAAATAAAATTTCATTTATATTTTATACGTGTATGTAGTAATTTTCTTTTTCTTTATTTATATGGTTAAAGCATAAATTTTATTCTATCTACTGTTTAGCGTTTTTGTACATTGATTTGAAATATTTAAAAAAAATTATTCTTATATTTTTAAATTACTCTCTCTGTCATTAGTAGAGAATATTCTTCCAAAAGAGTTTTTTTTTTTTTAAAAAAAAATACAATAATATTTCATTGTGGAAGTTTTAAGAGAATGTAGGAATGTATTAAGAAGG